CCCCCCTCCCCCTAGTCTCTCCCTCTCCTCTCTGCGGCGCGTGCACGTGTACGTCTCGGCTTGTCTCCGCTCCACGGGCACTTGCTCGTCCCTCGCCAGCCCATCTGCAGGGCCGCTTGTCTGCCTGTTTGTCCGACTAATCGCTTACTCGTCCCCCCCCCCCCCCCGCCCCTCTCTCGCCCCATCCACATGCATGTACACACCCCGCACACAGTCACCATGGGCAGCGAGCACTCTCGTCCGCACCCCACCCAGGCTGGCCACTACCAGCAGGGTGGCCAGTACGACCCCAGCCAGCACAAGGGCACCGGCGCCGACGGCATGCCCGTCAGCCCGAACGTTCCGCCGTCCAACATGGCCGCCGCCCAGTTCGCCCAGCGCGCTGTGGCCACCAACGCCGCATACAGCAACCTCGTGCACCCGAGCAACCAGGGGCTTGCTCAGCCGGGGGGGTCCCACGCGGCCAACACCGCCCAGGCCGGCGGCCGCTATGCCACCCAGCCGGCGGCTCCTGCCCCGCAGCAGCAGCCCCAGCACTTCCACCACCCGCAGCAGCAGCAGCAGCAGCAGCGGTACCCGGCTGACGCGCGGCGCCCGCCCCCCGGGCCTGCCGCCGGGGCCCGGGCCCCCGAGCAGCCATCTACCGGCGTGCCGACTGCCGCCCCGCCGGCTGTCCCCGGTGCCCCGCCTCCCATCGAGATGATCGGCCACTATGTGGTGCGGGCCTCGCTCGGTAAGGGGTCCTTCGCCGAGGTGAAGCTCGGCGAGCATGAGCTCACCGGCGAGAAGGTTGCCCTCAAGGTCATCACCAAGGCCAACCTCAACAAGGGCCGCCGCAATGTCCACCTCCAGCGTGAGATCCGCTTCCTCAAGCTCCTGTGCCACCCCCACATCAGTGCGTGTGCCCCCCGTCCCGGGTGCTGGTTTGGCGGCCCTTCCACGCCCCAGGGGGGCCACCCTCTCCTCCGCCACACACACACACACACACACACACACACATGTACACATGTACACATACTGACCCGCTTTTCGGTGCACGTGCGCCCCCTTGCGCCTCCCGCCCTGCATCCCCCCGCACACATACACAGCCATGCTCTACGAGGTGGTCGAGACCAACGACTACTACGTCCTCATCATGGAGCACGTCACCGGTGGCGAGCTGCTTCAGTACATCCGCAATGCCGAGCGCCATCGTCTGTCCGAAATCGAGTCGCGCCGGCTCTTCCGCCAGATTGTCTCCGCCGTGAGCTATTGCCACCGGAACTCCCTCATCCATCGCGACATCAAGCCCGAGAGTGCGTGCCCCCCCCC